AGATATATACTCACTGAATCTGAAAAAATTAAAAAAAAAAAATTGGAACAAAACTTACCAAGTTATTGCTAATTGTATATCTCTTAGCCAGGGTTTCTCAAAATGGTTTCTCAAAATGATTTTTAAAATGAAAAGACGCATATGTGCGTCCATAGCACCACAGAGTTGCCTACGTTGGACGCATATATGCGTCCATAGCAGTGAAAGGGTTAAGCTATTATGTATTTGTACCAAGAGCTTATTCATGCTGTTCTACAGGAGGTGGTATATTGATTTATAATAATTAAATAATATAATATAATATGATAGGAAATAAAGACTATTATAAAAGTTAAATATTAATTAATTAATAAATTCAATGTTTTTTCAAAAAATAAACCAACCTTCCAGTAGCCTGACCGAGCAGGTACCTATCAATTTTGATAGAATAACGTCGTAGAATAACCTATTTTTTTTAGTTATTTTAATTTTAATTTTACATTAGTAGAGTAGGTAACGTTGATAGTGATTTGTTGGGATAGTTATAATGACAAGTTATAACGAATAAAGACAGTCATTTTAAACTGTCTTATTATATTTTAAAAATAACAAAATTTGGGGCGTCAACTAAATCCTTGCACACGGGCACAAGAGTTTATAGTAGCGCCAATGGTAATAAAATAAAAGTTTTTGCTGGCACAACATGGAAAATACATAGATTGAAATATTTGAAACCTCTTATTTCCCTTTTTAAAAATAAAGAATCATAGAACTATATTTAATTTGAATTATTTATATGATATATTATAGTATGTTATTATGCTGACTTACAAAAATATAAAAGATATATTTTTTTTTTTTATTGAACAAAAATTGTATTTACAATCTGTAATTACATGTAGTACAATAAGTAAATGGGATGGAGATGATTAGCGGGAGGGGGAAGTCAATGGTGTCACTCCATAAAAGATATTTATGTTACGGTCAAAAGCCGAAATCGGGCAAACCTCAGAAATACCCGGGCAAAACGCGAACTGCCCACAATCCTTCGGCAAAATATCATGTTTCGGCTTTTGACCGGGCAAACCTAGTTATGACCAACTTCATTTGGGCAAAAACCGTTTACTGACTTTTATCGTAATGGCAAAACCGTAGTGTCTTATATACGTTCTCTAATATTAAATAGAAATAGTGATTTTTGTCGTACGAATTTATTACGATTATAAATGACCCCACGTACCTATCTTGTTAATTTATCGTTGTTATCTTATTTTATCAACTCGTTACCTATAATATTAAAGGATTCTATAAAATATTAACCAAAAATGGAATTTTGTCATCACTTTATGCCAAAAACCAAATATTTCAATGCAAGGAACAATTTATTAGTAATAATGATGTACCGAATATCGAAATACCACTGAGGACTGCTAGTACTCAAAATTCATTAACTGGAGGACAAGGGTTTATTTTTTGTTCTTGCAAAACTAAGTGCACTACGAGACGATGCAAATGTAAACAACAAAATATTTTGTGTAGTTCTAAATGCCATAGTTCTAATATATGTAGCAACAAATAAACAAAAATATTATTTTTTATTATTATATTCAATTATATCTGTACAATATTTTTTATTAATTATTTATTTTAACATTATAAGAGTACCTAATATTATTATATGTTTATTTTTATACTAGTACATAATATCATTTTATTTTTATTATTATTTAAGTGTATTCAATTATATCTGTACAATATTTTATGATTATTATTTTTTTGTATGTTGTTATTATAAACACTACAGTTTGGCTCAAGGGAGGTTTAAATGTATTAATTAAGTTTATTCAATTATATTTGTATAATTGTACAATTGACACTACGGTTTTGCCATTACGATAAAAGTCAGTATACGGTTTTGCCCAAATGAGGTTGGTCATAACTATAGGTTTGCCCGGTCAAAAGCCGAAATATGACATTTTTCCCAAGGATTGTGGGCAGTTCGCGTTTTGCCCGATTTCGGCTTTTGACCGTAACATTTTTTTTTTTTTTTTTTTATTTTATTGAACAAACATAATATATTTACAATCTGTATTTACATGTGATACAATAAGTAAATGTGATGACGATTTGGTTTACAGGAGGGGGAAGTCACCCAGTGGCGGCACCCCGTAAGGACCGTAACATTTATAAGTATAAATATTAATTACAATAAAATCTGAACAAATAAAAAATTTTACCCATTCACAGTAAAGCTAATACGAAAGCTCTTATACTCGTACACTATTATAATAATAAGTAAAATGAAGTGTGATGTATAATTCTAACGATTCAAAAAAAAAAAAAATGTTTATTTAATGGTATTTGAGCGATGGTCGAATCAATGAAGGGGTATTGTATAGGCAACTAATTGAGCATGTTATTTCTCACTGTGTGACTAACTCAATGAAATAAAACAAATTTATTTATACCACTATATAAGAGTTTTTTTTTATCAACGAATATTTCGCCATTTAAATAAATTGCAACTCCAGGTTTGATCCGTCAGAATACACTCCTTCTTCTTAAAAATCTATATGAAATAAATGTCGTCGTAAAAACTTTTTTCAATACCTTTCAAAGTTATAACTATCATTCTTAAAATTCTTTTATTGCAAAATTGTTACTCAACCATGCCCTAAACTATTCAGCTTAGTTTTGAAGTTCGCTCAGAAATCATTCCACCGTAAAATTCAAACAAAGCAAAATATGTATTAAAAAAACCTTTAACAGGTGTCACAAGCACCTCAAAGTTCGAAAAAAGTAAAATATTACAATTTTCTTTTATCTACTTATGGACCTCCATTAAAATCAATTGTAAAGCCTAGGTTGAGGCGTCAAAATCTAATCCTTCTACTAAAAATTCTAAGTAGCATAAACGTCGTAAAAATACTATTTTCAATGCTTTTCCCATAGTTATAACTAATATTTTTGAAAAATTTTTATTGCAAAATTGATATCTACTCTACGATGTAGATCTAGATAGCTTAGTTTGAAGTTCGCCCAGACATCACTCCACCGTAAAAGTAAAACAATGTAAAATATTTATTAAAAAACTTTTAGCAACCTAGACATGTCGGACCTATAGGTGTCAATAGCACATATTTTTTTTTTTTTTTTTTTATTTGGCATAAACAATCTATACTATTTGAAGCACAATAAGTTTATATGATAAGAGTAATAAAACATGATTGTTTTGAATAAGCAGCCACCCATTAGTGGTTTTTGGCTAATGATAAGATAGCACATATAAGTTCACAAAATAGTAACATTTTCCAATACATTTTTTATCAACGTATAGACCTTCATTTAAATCAATTGTAAAACCCAGGTTGAGGCGTCAAAATACAATTTAACATGGTAAAATATGTATTGAAAAGCCTTTAACAGGTGTTGAGACAGCACTTATAAGTTGTTTGACATGGTTAAACATTTTTATTGATATTTACAGTTATACTAAAAAATTTCATAATTTAAAATTTCTATAAATAGCTCATTACAGTAAACATTTTTTTAAAATTAAACCATGTAATGGCATGTATAGAAAAAATGTATACCTTTTTGTTGAAAATTTAACTTATCTACCTCGGTTATTATTCGTTTTTGTATTATAGAAAAATAAGCATATCGTTCCATGATAAATCACTAATTTACCGCTAAATATCTTATGTCAAAAAAATCCAACAGCAATGCTCATATAAAGTAAATTTGCCTTATCAGTAGACATACATTTTTTTTTGTGTAAGGAAAAATGTATGTATGATCATGCGTTTCAAATTTTCAAATCTTGGATATAAAATTCAAAATTGTTATGAATTTTAACATTTAAAGCAGGCAATTATTAATTTTAGCTATTTGTTTGTGGAGGCCCTCTAGATCTGGAGGCCCAGTGCATTGCACACCTTGCATACATTGCACACCTTGCATTTGCTATGGAATGGATTATTCCCTATGTATTCCTATTGTTTTGGATGATTATAAAATTATGTTAAAAAATATTGTTGTTTTTTCCCGAATTTAATTTAACATTGTATCTAATATTTCAGTTAATATAAATTAACATGATTATATTAAACTATGCACTTACTGTTTTATTATTTTAAACTCAAAGTATAAAACACAATGATATAGAATACTTAATTAGTATGCTATAAGGATTATGTATTGGATATATAGGTAGGTATGAACTCTATCGACGTGATTTCAATGGCGCAACGCTAACGTTAGATATATAACTATTTATTTTACTATAGCCGTATAGGTCATATTATGGGTAGTAAGCCCCGAATTACGTTGAAACGACATACAATCTTTATCTTTAAAAACATTAATTTGTACTTATTTTTTTTAGTTTTGGTGACAGCCATTATCGAAACCTTAAGATTTATTTAAATTTAATACAAGTTTACTTGAAGCAGTTAAACCGATTATATTATAATTGGCTATTGGCAACCTTCACTATATACGTAACATAATAATATGTCAAAAATACCTACCTATATGAGTTTTATAATTTGCTACAGTTCGTGTCTTCCGTAGTTTTATTTGATAGGTTAGCTAATCTAAGTACACAAATATTATATATTATAATAAAAACATTTCAATTCAATTCGTTCATTTGTTCTCTTCATAATAAATTTATAATTTTAAAAGGTTGTGTTCGTTGAAATTGCACATTTGAAATGTTGTGAATATTATATTATAATATTATTATTCTTCTATTGTATAGTAATATATTGGTGGAAAAGTCTACACGAAACTATTATCACCCTACTGACATTGAAGTATTGAATTTGCATACATTGATGTAATAACATGGGCATATTTTATGGGAAAACTATGTATGTAATATTTCTATATGACGTATGTGACATGTGTGCAGTGTTTACTAAGAGTTATGATGTCGATGAATGAATAAATTACAATAATCATTTTTTGCTAGTATTTATAGTATTACTTCAGTTTTGGTAACGAACATTATCGAAATGACAACAATTTTTCACATTACCTTAAGATCTATTTTAATTATATCCAAATGTATGGGTTTAATTGATATTTCATATACCGTGGGACCCACTGGATTATTTGTTCGGAATATAAACTCAACTTTCTACGTATTTCTAGAAATAACACGGATGATTGTGTTGTTAATATGCACCTACTTATACTTTCATCAGTTCGATCCCGATTTTCATATATTTCAATACATAAGTATATTTAAATTTTGGATTGTTATTATCGCAGCCAGAGTTTCAACAATATGGATAATCAAGTAAGAGTGTAGTATAAAATATCATTATGTTCTATATACTTCAATTAATTTAAGAGTTTGCATTTATTTGTTTGTTTTAAAATAACTTATCTGTGATTTACTTTAAAAAAAGTCCATTATTTGTTATCTTATACCAATTGACAAATATCAGAGAACTAAGGTAAATGTTAAGTTAACAAGAATAATATAATATATTAATATCAATGAATACTCTTAGGGATTCAAACAATTGATACATATTTATGCCGAGCGATTTTTAATCAGAATATTTTATAGATTGAAACAAAAGTATTTTTTTAGGACATGAAAAATTATAAAATATATTATAGGTTATAGTGTTTGATAGAGATTCCTGAAACAATACTTCTACTACAACTAGTATACGACTTCACTTGATTAAGATGATCCTTAAACGACGAATATTCAAATATGACCAACGTTCAACTTAGAAATGAGGTTCTTACGAATATTTTCGTGAAATTATAATTCTTTCCTTTTTGGTGTTATTTTTTCTTTTGCTGGAATTATTATTGAACTTATAATATATCATTTATGACTTAAAGTAAAGTAACTTTATTGTAAGCATTTCGTATATATAAATTTTCAGTGATAAAAATTCCAATTTCTATTGTCTTATCAATATCCGTAAAATCATAATAATGATATATCAACATATTTATAAATTATAATATGATATTTGAAAAATAAGTATTTTCACATTCGTAATGAGTAATGACAAAAACTAAAATTTGTACAGAATTCAACAATTTCTATAGAAGATGATAGTATAAGTAATATTGGAATGTTTCTGCAAATAATATTTTTGAAATAATTTTGTTGTATTTATTACAACAAAATATTAAATAACTAAAACCATTTAAGAAAAAAAATAAAAATTGCTATTTTTGTATAATTACTAGAAGATCTTTTCGTCTTAAAAAATTGACAACTTTTAAAAAGTCTATGGTATTAATAAGTCTATATTATACTACACAAAAAGTCTGCTAAAATTTTGTCCAACTGAAAAAATATTATTTCAATTATTATGATTCCAAAATGTTTGATTCATATCCAATTTTGTCTTAAGTTGATCAATTTCTGTTTTCAGATTTATTAATGGCATTATCGAATTTGATCAAAGAATTACACCAATTTCTACAAATTTGTTGATCACACAGCATTCATTACAAAAAAAACAGTGGGACAGGATTTTTATTTCATTCATTGTATACCTAATTGGATTTAAATCCGTACAAGTGTATTTATATCCTATTAAGAATGTGAACATTAGTTCACTGGTACAGAGTTTAGTGTTCTCTCCACCATATGTTATGGATGCCACGGTGACTATCACTTCGTGTTTCTTTCTTCAAAACTTGTACGTTAGATTCCAGACAATAATCGATTTTTGGAAATGTCTTCCTACTGAGTTAGTTGCTGTTCCCGGTCAATGGACACACACCGAAATAGTGGTTTTGATGGAAAACACTCGGCTGCTGCACTCCGAACTCTGTGAATTGTTACAAACATTTACTCAAGGTTACGGCCCATTGCTTTTGGGTTTCTACACATTCAGCTACATAAGTATGCTTGTCGGTGTTTATTTTATTGTCAACAATGACCCATTATCCAGTGCAAATACAGCTGAAAAGTTCCGAGTGGTAATTCCACTCGTAATTCACGTACAAATGTTCTCGTTTATGGTGTCTATTATCGTTTTTGTTTCATTCATAAACGAAAAGGTACGTACATAAACTATATTATGCAATGCCGATAATTAAGCGGCTCATACCCACATATATTTTAACTATTCAATTATTTATATTCTGAATTTTTATTTTTAAGTACATTTTCATGTACCATATTTCCATTAGATAGGACTTATAAATGTAGTCTCAAAGAGACAATTTCAAAGATCTTAGATTTCTTATGAAATTTAATGAGTATATAAGGTTAGGTTAGACACAAAAAAAAAAAAAATACACATCATTGTAAAATCAATACATTCATCGTTCCACTCAGAATCTAAAACAGGTTTAAATTTTCGTCATGTCTTCTTGAGATTTCCAATCTTTTTGATTTTATCTCTTTTTGTCCCATTAAATCCTAAAAAAAATCGTACTAAAAATTAAAATGTAATATTAAAATTTTTGAGAAGTTAAAATCATAACATTTAAATTCTATGAAAGTCGATATTATAGAGACTTGACGACAAATTCAAATCTGCTTTTAAAATTCTTATCGCTTCACTAGATCAATCGGTGCATTGGAATTAAAACACGTCTAAATTCCTATGTTCCACGTGTGTTTTTCAAAGACTTAAAATCACAGCTTCTAATCTCCTAAAGTATTAAGTACTTTTATTTTCAACTTGTAGTATATTAATTTAGATTACATAAAAAATACTCTTTCAAATTTAAATATAGATAATATTTTAAAATAACTAAAAATTTTACAGTAAAAATGAATGGCACTCATTTGAAAAACGAAGTTGTTGTATAGCCCATGGAAAATCCTTAACATTTTACACAAAATCTAAGTACCTATTTAAAAATGTTCTTCTAGTAGGTACACATAAAATTTCCAAACATAATTTGAATAAATGCATAGTTACAAATCTATACATACCTATATATCGAGTTAAGTTAACTCTTAGACTGCTTATAATATTGGCAATTCAAAAGTAAAGCTTAATGTTTCATACAAAAAATAAACAATATGGGTAACCGCAATTAAAAAAAAATATTTTCAATTTATTTTACAGCGAATAAAGATGATATCATATCTACGATTATACCAAATTTCTAATTTACACTTGGACATAAAACGTCAAGTAAAATGTATTTATATAAATAGTTTGTATGTTAAAGTGTTTAACTATAAAAAATATAACGATATATTTTTATTGTTTGGTTGTTATTAATATATTTTAATCACTCAGATCAAAATGTTTATGAATCAAATACCAGCTTATGAATTGGATCGAATTTCGGCGTTTGGATTTTTTGATATCAATTTAAAGCTTGTTACATCAGTAAGTACTGATATAGACTTAATTAATTAATCATTTTAAAATTGTATAGGTATATATTTTTCATTTAGTATATCGTTGTGCAATGTGAATTTTATATAAAGTTTTAATAAACTAGTTATTTCAGGAATTTATTTTGTATTTATACTACATTTTTGGATTTTTTGTTTCGTTCATACTATATAGGTACTTAATTAATTTTTAATTATTATGTTTGTTTACAGATAATTGTCTTATTGATAACTGGAATATCAACAATGGTTCAGATGAAAGATCACCCAATAATATTACAATTAAACAATGACACTAAGACGTTTTTGATAAAATTATTCAAAACGTCGAGAATTAAATTAAATTAAATACGTCTATTTATAATAACTTAGATAAATTTATCTAAATTATGAATGAATGAATACAAGTTTCCAGACAAGACATAGGTAGTAGGGTATAACCACCAATACGTAAGTTTCTGCACGAAAAATACACGCATGTGTAAGTTTCTATACGAATATAAAAAATATTGAATTATGTTTTTTTTTATGAAAAATATAATATAATATGTATTATACAAAATTTTGTTTGTTTTTGTGTTACATATTAGAAACTGTCTTTAATAAAATTTCTAACGATCAGCCTATATGGAAGTCAACATAATGGGTAGGACACTAGAATTTAGTAACAAACATAATCTAACTGACGAATGTTTTCGCAAGTGTAAACCAATATAACAAGCCATTATATTATCTATTTTCAGGGCTCGAAACCGGTTACCGGTTTTTAACAGAAACAGGTTACCATGATCAATTTTGGGTCTGGTAACAGCTTCCCGGTTTGTAAGTTTAAATTTTAAGAAGTGGTTAACAATAACCAGTAACCACCAAGCTCAATTAATGTTCAACGTGTAGCTGTAATTTTTTTTTTTTTAAATCGGTCAATTCAATAAAACCGGAAATATCAAAAAAAATATAACGTTATACCTATTTGATTTTTATATTTTGTTTTTTGGAAATTGTATTTTATTTTTTTGATTAATAATTTTATTTCCAAGATAATAAATTTAATCTAATAATAAGTACGATTAAATATGGTATATTGTCTGTAGCCCTAATAATAAGTAATGTGGCATGTAATGTCTCATGTGGCATTATTATTGTATTGACCGGTGACATGCCAATAAAGCCAACACATTTAGGAATAAGGGCCAGTATTACAATAGGTTAAGCCGTGAAATTCGGCCTGTACAATCAGTGGGTTAAGTGTAATCGAGGTTTAAACTATGGTTGTAAAAATGGCCCTAGTCGGTTAGGTTAGGTAGGGTTAGCCCTAATCGGTTCTAATAAATAAAGTATATAATAATTACTACTTAATTTATAATTATTATTCAATATTAGATAGGTAGGAAAATTCATAAAATATTTACTTCTCTCATATGATTCATATTAGGTAAGGTTTCTTACCTAATAAAAACTTGAAAAACTTCGTTCAGGTGTAGCAGTTGATACAGGGAAAGTACAAAATATTTTCAAGAGTTCATGAATATTTGGATAAACTCTTAATATCTAAATCATGTAAACCAGAGATGAATAACATTTTTTCAGTCAATAAGTACACATCAGTCACTAAAAATAAACCCACGCCCAATGGTAAATCTACAGTTTTCATGTTAATTTTGTTTTATTTACCAACTGTTTATCGCGTTTATTATAAACACTCTTACATGAAAAATAATTCACAGAAAAGTAAAAAATACAGTACTTACACCATACTACCATAGAGGGATACATTTTTGTTGTCCGATATATATGCCACATATATGCCGCGAACGACTAGTGGCGTATAGTATTTATTAGAGAGGTAAAATTACTAGGGCTAGAACATTTAGAAAACAGACATACTTAAAAATAATATCATATTGAGAAATACAGAAAATGAGAAAAATTAACTTTACAAAAAAAAAAGGTCAAGGGGGATCTATCCCCCATATCCCCCCCGTAAATACTCCACTGATGTAATAACCAAGGTGCAACCGAGTATACCAAGAATTAACTACTGCTCAACTTTTAAACCATATTGGTTACCAGTCGTAACCATATAATAACCAAGCCCTCGCACGACACGACACATGACGTAGCTGTGAATGCGCTTTAATTCTAAGAACCTCTAAAACCGGTAAATACTTACGAAAAATATTTTGGGTCCTACCGGAACTGTAGTTCCTACCGGAACTTTCATAAGCGAATTCATGCCCTGGAATAAATCAATATAATCAATATCTATATTCTATGAATGGCCATATGGCCTATGGGTACTCGATAGTCGATACACAGGGGCGGATCCTATATGAAAATATAGATTGAAGAGGTCACATCATAGGGTCTATTCTGGGTGATTAATTGAATGTAAGACTCTCATTGTTCAAAAAGTATTAATGTTTTTGAAAAAAATTTTTTACATGGTTAAAGTCATTACAAAACAACGTTTTTATTAAAGAATTATCTCTCTTAATAATATCTTTTAGATTATGAGCGGAGCGATGAATGTATTGATTTTACAATGATCTGTTTTTTTTTTATTTTTTGTCTGTCATCACCTTTTAGGACAGTAAAAATGCTTAGATATTCTTCAACAGGATCTTTTCTGTTAAGAAAGTGAATATAGTTGGTGCATTCGGGAGGTCAAAATTTTAATTTCCCAGTAGCTTTAAAATATGCCGTAAAAAATGAAAAAAAAAATGAATGAAACCGTGAAAAAATCAAGCAGTATCTAGTAATAGGTTTGCTTATAAAAACTAAAAATAAAATTGTTTTACAACACTCGACATGCAAAATAGTAAAGGGCGTATTGGGGGGGGGGGGATCAAAACCCAGTTACTACATAATCACCAGAACGTAGGTATATCTTCTACCATGAAAAGATTTAATAAAACTACTAACGAAACTCGTCAGATCAAGTACATCGGAGTGATCTCGGAAAGCTCAGACCAGATTCAAATCGGATGAGTATGAATAAAATGTGCATTGAAAAACAATAAGTTCGTATTTCCTAGTATACCGATGCGGATCGGTTGCGTGTGTGGCACTGTGACAGGGCCTTAACACGTCTAGCTCTTTTGAGGGTAGTAGTTTACAATGTTTACTTAGACAAATTTAAATTAATCTAGATGATCGATTGTTTCGCAAAAAAACTACTAGACTTTATACAATAAAAATATTTAATTTAAAATACACATTTTATCACACATGTAGCCATGTAGGTAATCCATAAAAAACATTATTTAGATAATTATTATAATATATAAATTTCTTTTCTAGTTGGTTTTTATATTATCAAAATATATAATTTAGTTTTAAACTCCTCACGAAAATTTGTTCCAACTGCGGCCTTGAAGATAATATCAAAATGTCATGAATGTCAAAAAGTGTGTAATATTCAATTAGGATTAAGTCAAACAGGTGACACAAATGTAATATTATCAGTTATATACTTATATATTATTTAACTTAACAAACAAACTAACTTTAAGATTCTGAGCGACTAAGCCTTTTTAGTATACATCGAGTCACAGAGTAATACAAATCGTAATACCAGAATATTAGGTACCTACCTATACTATATTAATAATAATAATAATAATGGTCTATAGAAAAATTAACGTGCTCGAAAATGTAATGTTGTGGGTCGATGAACGATGAACGTACTATCTGGCTATATAATAATATATAGATAGAAGTCGTCGCCTGGGAAATTTTCGAATTGATCGGTCTCTGTGATGGAAGACTTGTATTTAGCTCATTAGCAATTCTCAATTAAAACCGACACATATAACATCTACGTTAAAATGGCTGTCAACAATAACAGCAACGATGTACTGGCCGCATTACTCGAAATTCTCGAAGTAATTGCAGACGGTATAATGGAAGGCCTTTATGAAGATGGAAGCGATGACGAAAACCTCATACGAGTAGTTACATCTCTTCTGTCTTCCACTGATATGGATACGGCATCCAGTGGCGACGAGCAGTCCCCAGGGTCAGAGCCCGAAGAAACCAGTTAGATCCCAGAGGACGCTCCAATAGAAGACGCAACCGGAAATTACGACGAGAACGAAGAACACTTTAAGGAGTCAATTGTCTTGTACAGTGAATGGCCGAGTGGCGACGCACCGTCCTCGGAGTTGGCGACTGTCGACGACGTAGTGATGCCTGCAGATGCAGAAGACGTATTATGTGCAGATATTGAGCAACCGGCCAAGGAAATAGCTGTGATCGATAGTGAACTGCTGATCGGCAAGGAGGACCCTACAGTAGAACGCGAAAAACGCGTTTCTCCACGTAGAAAGTAGACGTGGAAAAGTGTAAATCGCCTTTTTCGCGCGTTGTTCTGCTGCGGCTGTAAAACCGCCCGGAGCTAATACTATATAAGCACAGCCCACTTGGGCCGAAGACGACGGTGACGCAAACGAGGGGAGGATGTGGGAAAGAGCACGGAAGATGCCCGGCGGTAAGTCACCCGCGCAAGTTCTCCGACCACCCTCAGCGCGACGGGTTCGCGGGCGTAGCGCGCTCGGCCGTAGTTGACCCGAGAGGGTCACTCTGGAGGGTCGGCGATCGCCCAGCTGCAGTTAAGGTCACGCGGAGCGACGGACGAAAACGATGACGACGCGGTGGCTATAGCATAGGTACGACGGCGGGCAACGATTCCGCCCTGACGGTATCAACGATGACGGCGATGGCGGCTCGCTTCGACGGCGACGGCGGAGACTTTGGCACGGGGTGAGTCAGTGGTATAGAGATTATATGTGTTGGGAACACGGAAGTGAGCGGCGCCGGACCCGAGGGGACTTCGGCTAGTTAGATTAGGTTAGTTAATGTGGTAGTTAATGTTATTTTCATGGTCCGGCGGCGGTCATTGGACGAAGATGCGGCTGAAGGGACGACGCCATGGCAAAAACTACCGGGAATCGAGGATCCGACGGCTCTCACCTTTTCGTCCCTCTGCAATCCCACATCGGCCGCTTAGCAGACTGTTTCGCAGCACAAAATCTCTGTTCACTCTCTCCGCGTGTCTATTGGTCTTCGCCGTCCGTCGCAGAGTCGTCACCGTCAACCGTAGTCGCTTCCGTGGCCGTCTCGGTCTGTCCTCACCAGCTGGGCAAGGTCGTCACGCGCTTACGTCACTTAGGTATATAACATAATACTATGAATAAAGCGTCTGTATGATGTGTTAATAATAATTGTGTATTATTATAATCATTAAATCATTCATTAAGTATTATAGTAGTATACTTGTATAGTTATTTTACTAATTATAATCAGACGTCAAATTCGTCTTAAGTTCTGCACTCTTTACCTATATACAA